GTGCAGTACGATACAGTACAAAGCTCACCGAGAGCTACATACAGGGGCATTGCGAAGCATAAAGCTCAACTGGGTCACAGGCCCCCTACGACAGTGGCCCGCAGGCTACTCGGTATCTTGCTGCACGCATATATTTTGGGAAAAATAAAAATTCCGTGGTGGTCAATGTATGGCCTAAATGCGCCATATCACCACGGCAGCAATGTAACAGATAGCAGTTGATCCGTGAAATATCAGTCGGCCTATGAACCGGTCGTATGTCCCCTTCCTCCTAGACGCGCACGCTGGTCCAACCCCACTGCTGCACTCTTAATAACGCTACCACTTGACATATTCCCGAATGTAAGAATATGGATCTATGATTAAATATTTCTGGCAGCACAGTGGTCGACTGGTTAGCACGTCCGCAGAGATGCAGATTTTATATGTATATAAAATGTACATTGATGTGCTAACAGTTTCTTGCATGATATTTAAAATGTGTTTTTTTTAAGGAATGAACGTTGAAAAATCAAACATTGTCCCTTTAAAAATAATTTTAAAAGAGAAAAAAATATATCACAAACATTACACACTTCTTCTGTTCTATTTTGAATCGGGTATTATTCGGACAGCCGTGAGGCCATCAGCATTCAACAGCTTCAGCGTTGCAGTTTTTATCAGCATATTATTCATTGTTTTCTCACTTGACATTGGAGCAGCGTTGCAAGTTTTTCCTGTCCTTGACTGCCGGTTTGAGAAGCTTTAGAGTTGTCACCCTTCTCCAACACGTGGAACAATTTATTCTATGCATGGAAAGCTTGTCAAAACAGGATCTGATAGGGATACAAAAATTGCAAAAGGTCAATTGTCTGACATGAGATTCTGTTTAACTTCAGTCCACATAATTATTCAACTGCCCAAACCAAGTCACAATGCGAAATAGAAAATGAAACCATACAGCATTTCATTTAAATCGGGCACGTTGCGCATATCTTTCCAGAATTTTTCTTGTACATTCTATGCTATATAATTGGCAGGGTGGCGAAATAGACATGTTGCATTAGGATCCTATGCAACACACTGATAGTCGTGATCATGCATACATCGGCATTGTTAACTAAAAACCAGGCATTAAAAAAAAAAAAACGTTTCACATTATGACATATAAGGCTTGCCACTATACCTCGTAAAAGTCTTTTTTTTCCATGTTCTTGAAGCACTGAATAAACATGAATTAATTGTATGCATATGTTTCCACTCTTGAGTGCAAAAAGTATGTGGACAGCATGTTCAGAGGCATCATTGATTGGTCTTACACAGACAGTAAACATCTTAGTGACTGGATGTGTGTAATAAATATTGACTTTCATTAGATTGTTCCACAGTCTAGTTGTCCAATCGAAAACCTTGACATAAACCAGCTTTCATTTATGGTCTTGAGTCAGGTCACTTTGATCTCCGTGTCAACATGTTTGCCCGTTATCAGGCCTTCAATGCATTCAGGTGGAAACCGAAATGGTCACCGAACGTCAATGATCACAACTTATACACAAGAGTGCACATAGAGGTCGTAGCAATTGTTTGACTGCATACATACACATTTCCTCTTCCTCATGAGCAGTAGCAGCAGGTTTATTTGGAGCCTCTTCAGCAAATACACTACTCACAAAAAGTTCGGGATATTTGGCTTTTGGCTGCAATTTCAGGACGAGCCTAAAATGCATTCATTTTCAGGTGAACTTAATGTGGTCTTCTCTCAGCTTTTGAATGCACATGTCCAACTGTTACATATTTCAATACGTTTTGCACCAGTTGCTGTTCTTTAACAAGGAACTTCACGGCAAAATTCACAAGCGGTGTTTGATCGTTGAATCAACCAAAAAAATGTCCTTGTCCAGTTGGAGCTGGTGTTTAAGCAGTCGTTCTCATCAGGCTGTTCACATTTTGACATCATGAGCGTCAGGTTCGGAAATGAACCGAATAATATTTTGGATCTCAGATATGCAGGCTTGATAACAAAATATATTTTACAGAAAAGCGAATCAACTGCTGATTTTTGAAGATATCACATTAGTGATTCTCAAGTAAGTGAAAAGTTGTTACCTTACTACAGTTTTTTCTTTTTTGGTTCTGAATGTGGACATGGCATTCGGCTACTATCAAGTAAAGAGCTATTCTGCGGGAAAGAGGGCTGTTGGCCACCAGAGAAATTTGGAAAAATCCTCAACTATTTGTCTTAACACTCTTAACAGAAAGGTGATGAAATTAACTTGACAATACCAACAATATATAATTGCTTTCTTGACTGACTTTAGCGTGTTTCAAAAAGGTGAAGAATTTTAAAGTGGTCCTTCCATTTGTGTATGTGGCCCTCAAATGAAAAGGTTTGGACACCCCTGATGTAGGACTTGTCCACCACAGTTTTCATGACTGATTGTTTCATTTTCACTTTTGGTTCTCAGTGTAAAAAATAACTACAAAAATGCTCACCCGTACGAAATAATGATTGACATTTAATTTCTTGAAGTTGGTTCAGGTCAGTCAACAATCATAACACTGCCCCTTAGTGTTTGGAAGAATAATAATCAAAACATGCAAAGACAAACATGGGGCTTGTACAGTTGTGAGGCATAACAGTGTGGAAATTTATCCTGAATTTAAATCCACAAATGTGGATTTGTGGTGATTGTACTCATTGTGCCACACAGACACACGTTGAAGACGTGACATCATCTTTGGTAGACATCTCCTTCAAAGCACGAGGAGGGATTGATGAACTTGTCCTGATATGTCTCATTAGCCCAAAAACTTTTCTAATTCCTCAATGGAATTTCTGGTGGGGGGGGGAAAAAAAAATCCTATAAACCACAGGTGTCAAAGTCAAGGCCCGGGGGTCAAATCTGGCCTGCCACATCTTTTTATGTGGCCCGCGAAAGCAAATCAGGCATGTCAAGTTCCATGATGCTTGTTAAAGTCTGAACCAAAAGTTCAAAATGTCATATGTAGTCTACAATCATTATTCTTGACTATCTGATTTTAAAATGAGTTATTCATCCATTTGTTGTACGCTGTGTATGTAATATGTGGAGGGGATTAAACATTTATATGGCTTCCAAAAATTCATAACGGCCCTCCAAGGGAAACAGTAACTACAATGTGGCCTGCGACAAAAATGAGTTTGACACCCCTGCTATAAGCGGAGGAGCAAGGAGTGGGACCTAGAGCTGCAATTGAGAAATGAGATGAGCCCATCAAGTAAATGAACCCTTAATAAGAGATACCATCCAAAAAAAAGGGGAAGTGTTGAAAAGTTACTCTTTTGTCAAGTTATATTTTTTTCTTTGTTTCATGTTAGGAATACAATGTCAATGTTATACATTGGTCGACACAACAATTTTGTAGATGTAGATGTATGGCTGCAACAGAGTTGGGTGGGGTGGGGTGTAAAGTATTTTCTTCTTCCTCAGAGGGGGCATAACAGAAAATAACAAAACACTGATTATTAGTATGATTGTTAGCCCATCTATGGCATCTGCCAAACTGCTGCATGATGAGAAGCAAGTCGAGTTTGCTGCCACCAATTAGTACTTGGATCCTAAATTTTTGCTTGAGTCGATGCAAAAAACCCAAAACAACAAAAAAAAAACGACCCTCCCCCATCCCGACAGTTGGTATCCGAAAAAAATTCACAAGGCGCCACAGTATTGGCAGCCGTGCTCACTCCATATGCTTCGTGAATAGTTTCATTGCCTCCGAAATCGTATCTGCTGCTTACCACCCGCCCAAAAATCTGACAGAGATCATTTTTGCTGTCGCATGTGGTTTTAATTTAAGATGGTGCCAAATGATTACATCAATCATTTTTAACACACACGTCAATAAGCCACATCTCATGTTTTTGTTTTCAAAAGATACAAAATGGATAAGAAGGAACACTAGTTTGGGTTTTGTTTTGTTTAAAAGATGTGAAAAAAAACAAACAGCAGTGTGAAATGGAAATAACAGGGCAGACTTGGCGTGAGTTGCTCGAGAGCCGGCTTTACATGGAGACGCTTTGGTCATTCCGACTGGAATCATTCCGAATCAAGACCTCTGGTCAGCTGTTTGTATGTGACGCGATCTCCAAATCCAATCGCAATGAATTTGGGATGTTGTCTGAAACATAAAGAAATAAAACAGAAGACAATGATTTGCAAACCATGTTCAACCTATATGTAATACACCACAAAGACAAGATATTTCATGTTCAAACCGATCCATTTGATTGTTTAGCAAATAATTATAAACACAGTCCAAAAAAGCTGGGACAGGGGGCAAAAAAGACAACATTGATGGATGCTCATCAAACACCAGTTTGGAACTTCCCACAGGTCACTGGGGCAAACTGGCAACAGGTGAGTGAAGTGATTGGCTATTAAAAGGAGCTTCCCAGAATTGTTCAGTCACCTTTCACCTTTGTGAACAACTGCGTGTGAAAATATCGACCAATTTAAGGACAATGATTCTCCACATCCAAATGTAATGAATTTAAGGATTTCATCATCTACGTTCCGGAACATTATCAAAAGGTTCAGAGATTGTGGAGAAATAACCGCATGGAAGCGGCAAGGCCGAAAACCAACATTGAAAGCATGTGACATTCGATCCTGCAGGCGGCACTGCATCAAAAATCAACATGTTGAACATCAAGCAAGAATGGGAAAGAGTTCCACCTACAAGGCTTCAACAATTAGTGTCCTTAGTTCCCAAATGTTTATTGTATGTTGTTAAAAGAAAAGGTGATGTAACACAGCGGCAAATACGACTCTGTCCAAGCTTCTTCAGAACGTGTTGCAGCCATAAAATTCTAAGTTCATGATTATTTGCTACAATAAAGCTTCAGTTTGAACAGGAAATATCCCGTCTTTGTTGTGTATTCAATTAAATACAGGTTGAACAAGATTTGCAAATCATTATATTCTGTTTTCATTTATGTTTAACACAAAGTTAGAAGTTCAGTGGAATTGGGTTTGTATTCCTATCTAACATTCACACGCTCCACTACGCTCATTAGACCAGCCGGGTGACTGGCGGCGATCGTTTAATGATCAAGATTGAGTTCATTTGATCTATTGAGCACAGTATTGTGATTTTTCTGAAAGCAACACCTTGATAAAAAGTTCCAAGTACTTTAAAAGAAGTTTTTCCGTTGCAGACGAGCTCTGGTAAGACGCTGCCATTTTCAAGTGCACACACGACGACGTCACTACGCGTTTAGGTCAAGACAGAGAATGCGCAGGACGGATGCAGGGCGAATATTGTGATTTAACTTTTCAAATGACGCTCATTGGGATGGGCAAAAGGAATATAGCTTCCCTTGTGAAAGCCCAAAAAAATGCCACAGGGATTTGGCCATTTTATTCCGATAGAGGCGTTTGTATGGAGCATTTTCATTCCCTTTGCTCATTTGGATTCATTCTAATTGGAATACATGGCTCCATGGAGGGCTGGCTCAGGTCGCCCATGTTAAGTGATATGAGATGGAATCACACAGGAAGTATTTGACCACATTTGTCCGTTCTCACGAGTGGCCCTCCAGCTGCTCTAAGTCTTCTCGCAGAGTCTTGGCCCGGGCCAACTTTTCCAACTGATCGTGTGTTGGCTGCTTGATTTCCCCCGAGTCCACCTTGTGCTGCAGCTCCTCCACCTGACGCAGCTTCTTTCTCATATTCTTAATCTTCTTAGCTTTTTCCGCTTCAGGGGAATCATCTGCCGCCGCCACTTTGTGCAAGTGCTCGCCACCCGCTGAGATGTTCACATTCTCAACAGCATCGGAGAGAGACGCCACGTCAGCCGCACTCTCCTCTGGGTCGTTCTGTTGCTGCTGTTTTCGCTTCTCTTTCCGTTTCAGGTTGCGCTTGGCCGACTTGGAGAGGCTGCCGGCGGCGCCGTCTGCACATCCTGGGATCTTTTGCTGCTGTTGCTGCTGCTTCTGGGGCTCGGAATCTGATGCACTCAGGCCTGGAGGAAGACCTGGTTTGCTTTTGAAGAACTTCACATATTTGTTTTCATATCTGAAACACAAAAAGGGGATCCAAACATTTCCAACAAAAACATGTGGTCCAATGAAGACGTTTGGAAGGAGCTGACTTACACCGGGACCTCTTCTTGGGGGACATAGCCTTCCCTCACCCGCCGCGGTTTCCTCCACGTGCCATCCGGCCGCTGCGTGGCGGCAATGTATTTTCCTGAACAACAGACAGTAACAGCATTGAGGTAAGCCTTCAAAGACACATACAAAACTATAAAGCTTACATTTGTGCTGCCAAGACACTGTATAGAGGTCGTTTGCACGTGAAGTCATTTCTGATTTGTAATTTTTTTTTTCCCCACTCACCAACTTGGGTGTATAGCAATCAACTGTTTGCATGTGATTGCAGCACATGTTTCTCAGTTGTTCTTAAAATGGTCCACTCTTGCTATGTCATTGGGTGTTCTTACAATGCCAGGAGAGCAAAAGATAAAAATTTATTTTGGGTTCAGAAGATAATTATACAACAGGGCCTGGAGACAAAAGAAATATCTAAAATAAGGTAAGCTAAGTGACATGGCCAATCCATAGTTTGGGCTTGCGTGTGTTTACCTTTGAAATTGTTGGGATAAGAGATTATTTTATCTAGACCACGAATAAAAAAGGTAATTAAATAATACTAAACTGCAAGCTGCTTATGTTTTGGACTCAGCAGCAAGCTAGCTAGCTGGTACAAGCTCTCTAGCGGACGAGTGCAATGCTGAGCATTGCTGGTCGAAGCTATATTGTGAGACAAATAAAGGTTTTCTTATCTCATCTTATTATCTTGAAACTTAAACCTCTACTATGCAAAGCAAAAGCCATTTATCCACAACACCCAGAAACGCTGCTGGCTTCTCTGGGCCTGAGCTCATCTATGATGGACTGATGCAAAAAGGGAAAGTGTTCTGGGATCTGACGAGTCCGCATTTTTAAAAATTGTTTTGGAGAAACATTCTGTGGACTGACTAGTCAAAAATGGAACCTTTTGGATGGTGTGCAGCCCGGTACATCTGGCGTAAAAATAGCATAGCATTTAATAAAAAGAACAGTGTGGCAGTGTGATAGTCTGGGGCTGCTTCACTACCTTAGGACCAGGAGAATGTGCGGTGATTGATGGAACAATGAATTATGCTATGTAGCAGAAAATCCTGAAGGAGAACGTGCGGCCATTAGTTCATGCCCTCAAATTAAAGAGCTCTTGGATCAAGCAGCAGGAGAACGATCCAGAACACACCAACAAGTCAATCTCTGAATGTTCCCAAAAATAATAATACAGTTTTGGAGTGGCCAAGTCAAAATCCGGATTTAAATCCAATTGAGATGCTGTGGCGTGACCTTTAACTGGCAGCTAATGCTAGAAAACCTTCCAATCTGGCGGAGCTGAAACAATTCTTCAAATAAGAGTGGGACAAAATTCCTCCAGAGCAATGTGAAAGACTTCACAGCAATTACCGCAAACGCTTGATTTCAGTTATTGTTGCCAAGGGTGGCACAATCCGTTCCGATGGTTTAGGGGGCAATTCACATCGGGTCAGAAAGGTTTGGATTTTTTTTTGTGCCTTAATAAATTGAGTTGTCATTTGAAAATTTGCATTTTATATTTCCTTGGGTCGTCTGAGTAGTAATAAAATTGGTTTGATGATTTGAAAGCTTTGTGTGTGATAGATACGCGAAATATGTAGCGAGTAGAGTTGCGAATAGACTTCCAATGGATGAAAGTAGGTACATAATTACATACATACATACATACATGAGACGCTTGTGCGACTTCCTCCTAATGTAAAATCCATTACATTGTGTTAAATACGTGCCTTGGCTCAGTAAAGCTTGGGAAACACAGCTTGTCTCCAGAGCACGGTAACGTGACGTTCAAGTACTCTTCTCCACATCACTTCTAATCAAAAACAGACCACCGTTCTCTTCGTGCAGCAACTAAATAAAAGGGAGGGAGGTTACAGCAAGTTAGTCGCTGCCACGCGATAGCATCATGCTAACTAGCAGCTAGCCTCCAAGGAGCAACGGTGATCCATTTGCATGGAAACCAAGCAACGTTGCGAACGTTGCAATAGTCAAACACACAGCATCGGCAGCCGCGTCCTATCGGATTTTGCCCGTTATGTTTGGATTTTGTAGCGTGACACATGCGCCGGGCTTACCAGACTCGTCCGTAACATAGGGGGTTGCCATTTTGAAGAGCTCCGTTTCCATCCGTGGCTCAAACCAAGCGATCCCCAAACCAACTCGGAGTCCCACGGTCCTCGTCCCAAAATAGGCAACCGCTACAGGATCGCTGGCATCGTCAGCTCATTACGTTGCCCTCGACGTAGGGCCTCACATAAGCCATAACGCCAGAACCAGTGGCGGCGGCGGCAGTGCTGCTTCTTCGTTTAATTTTCTGGCGGATTACATCTTTTTGGTGTATACCACCACCTACTGTGCAGGAAACGTAAAGGAACTTTCAGAAAATAAACAAGAGATACAAGACGTCCATCCTCATTTATGGAGTCCATTCCATCCTTCTCTGTCACTCCAAGGTCGTCTGTGCTCTGTGTGTTTCTTACACTTAAATAGTAAATCTAGATGTTGCTTTCTATTCTAATCTATATATTGATTATTTTGAGTGGGAGAAATGTCGGCGCCATTTGACTGTCGTTGCTGGACAGCCCCGGGGTGATTGTGTTTTGTGCCTGTAATGGGCAGCATTTTCACAGCACCGCTTTATTCAGCGGAAAAGTCGGTGCTGTTGGACAGCCTGCGGCTGGATGGATGCATGGCTTGAGGAACCGACGATGAGAAGAAAGGAGCGTCAGCGCAGAGCGCCGATTTGTAAACGGATTTACATGGGACAGGAGATGGATGAGAGCCAATCTCTTTTGCGTTAATGGACGCTACAGCTTGTTGCTTTCAAACTTAACTTTGAAGTGTGTATTCTGCTCATATTCAGTCATGCTATATAACTTTCCCATGCCCGCAGCGTAGCTTGGCGTCCTTGTAACAATCATCACTTAAAATTGGAATACTCCGTACAAGAGACACACAAACATTGGAATGTGCTAGTTGATTCAAGCTGAGAATCGGTTTAGGAGAAACGAAAGTTATGATGTCACACCTTGAGTTTTGGTGCCGCCCTTCTGATGATGTAAAAATGATGTGAATCTCTTCCTGCTTCACACTCGTGACACGCAGCCATTGTCTATAAACCGCGAGTGCCCGTAATATTCTGTTATTAAAAGCTTCGAAGAAACTGTTTATTGACTCCAGTCTGTAGTTGGATTACCAGCATTCCCCTCATCCGAAATTCAACGAACACGCGGGGGAAAGAAGGTCTATTTCCCCCCAACATTGCTTGTAGCAGGCGTGTGCACATTTTCAGCATGACGTCTTTGATTCACTGGTGAAAAGGACACTTTTATTCGCTCCTCTTTCATCTATAACTGTGTCAAACAACAAAGTGTATGTAGGAAAAGTGGTTAAGATTGCACGACTGTCTGTGTCTTATGTGTTGTGTTGTATTATTTTGTCATTTTATGTTAACTGTTCTTTTGATGGTGGTGCGGGCACCCGCAGCGGCTCCTCTTGTTATCTTGTTGTCTGGTTGAGAGGGAGGAAATTTCATCTGAGCTGTATGTTGCACATACAGCGCATTTGACAATAAAGTTGTACTTGACTTGATATCCTCGAAATCCTGGCAAACACCACAGAACCCATTGCTTATTAAGACGTGTGTGACAAAACCTTCATCGACTACCTCTTCTCATTGAATTTTGGATGAGGAGGATGTTGGTTATCCAAATACAGGCTGGAGTTGATGAACAGTTTCTTCGAAGCTTTTAATAACAGAATATTACGGGCACCCGCGGTTTACAGACCATGGCTGCGGTGGTCACGAGTGCAAAGAAAGAAGGGATTCACCACATATTTATATCATCAAAAGGGCGGTACCGAAACACAAGGTGTGACATCAGAACTTTCGTTTCTCCTAAACTGGTTCTTAGCTTGTATCAACTGGTGCATTCCTTTGTCTGTGCGTCTCTACAAGGTCTCCAGTAGGGAGTGTTCCAATTTTAAGTCATGATTGCTTCAAGGACGCCAAGATATGCTGCAGGCATGGGAAAGTTATACATGACTAAATATGAGCAGAATACACACTTCAATGTCTAGACCAGTGGCTCTTAATCTGGGTTTGATCGAACCCTTGTGGTTCGGTGAATCGGTCTTAGGGGTTCGACAGAGCCTCTGCCATGGAGGTTAAGACTAACCTCACTCAAGATGTCAGTTAGTTATGACACACCCACTTGGCCATTGCTGGCTGCAGATGATCACATTAGATTGCTTGTCCAATCAGTGCTACGGGAAATTTAGTTCGCTCAGAAGTCACTGTGTGACTGTCGTGATAGTACATCATACAATTAAAAAAACTATACTTATGCCATGTAATTTATATTTACTTTATTCTGTTTTTAATACATGTGTTTTTTAAATGTCTTGAATTTGTAAAAAAAAAAACATTTTTATTTTTCACTAATGAAGGGTTTGATGAACGTGCAGGGGCGTCACTAGGTTTCAAGAACAAGGGGGGCTTAGCCCCAAGGGGAACACAGCCCCTTTAGGGGGGTCCGGGGGCATGCTCCCCCGTGAGAATTTTTTTCTACATTCTGTTAAAAATCCATCAATTCCGTGCACTTTGAGAGCAAAATGAAGAGGCTATGAAGAACTACACACATCACATTAGTATCCTCTTT